AACTGTGCGTCCAATATTGTCCTGTAGATAGAAATAAAAGATGCCAAGACGCATCAAACATCCGGAAAATTTATAAAAATACGTACAGGACGGAAAATTTCGGTGAAACTACACAAAAAACTCACCTTGTTTATTCGCCATGGCCGGCAGCAGCTGATATTTACAACAAAATGGCGGGAATGTGGCGGATTTTAAGAAGACGACCGCTTGCCAAACGTACTGCTTTTTGTATCCGTGCTATAAAGAAACGCACGGATCATGAATCCTAAAAATCCGGATTTAGATTTGATCTAATGAATCCACTCGGAGTGTGGATTCTATAGATTCAAAATCCATTTTCGGATTTTATTAAAGAAACGCAAAATCCGTTTTTGGATTCAAGAATCCGGATTTGGATTTTTTTAAAGAAACGCACCCTAAATCAATTGTCCTTTTTATGCTTATTTTTATTGGCGTGACTTCGCGTAGAAGCAGTCAATTTAATTTTATACAAGTTGTGCGGTTTTTGAAATTGCTCTGGATATCACTTTCAGCTAAGTATACTCTGTGTGGTGTCATTGTATGAGTATCATAAGAATTCATTTGAAAATTTCAGAACAACTGTCGAAATCAGACATTTTCCTATCCCGAATGCATATTAATCGGGATTCGGAATTTTCGAGCAAAATCGGAAGGACCCCGACAAGATCAGGATGATTAAAGAGTCTTCACAGACATACTACATTTTATGGCCTCATTTGTGTGTAACAAGGTTAAATTTTTTTTCTTACATACTTCTTACGTACTTCTTTCAAGTTTTCCAGTATGCAATCAGTAGAATGTGCTCTTAAAACTTGTTAACGTGCAGCGTAAAAATACCCCTGAACTAATGAATGATGGGATCTGGTGTGAACTGATAGTAAGTGCCTTGCACCGGTACGGTTCTTGTGTCAATCCCCTGGGGACTGCACGTGGTCAATCGCACTCGAACTTCATGCTATTTTAGTTGAAAACGTTGCTGATTGGTCTTTTCATATCATGGGGAGTTCAGCTGTTTTCAAGTGTCAAAATACATAGAATACAGCGCATACGCTGGGTGCATATCACTGTATGTCTATTGTTTGATAACACGTAATATCAGGAGCCTCCATCTCCCATACATGCCCTTGGAGTCAACCCATTCTCGACTGACTTCGCGCGCCGACGGTGGGAAGAGCCAATCACAACAACGAAATGTCACTGCTATTGTACTTCATCGAACAGCAGGAAATTCGGTGTTGACAGGCCAAACACAATCATAAGCTAGTGAAACGTGACTTTCGCGTTTTCATCCCTCAGAGATTTTCTTTCTTTTCTTTCTAGTGGGTAGATTATACTGTGGAGAGTTTTACACTCTGATTATGTTAATGTTCATTTTGGTGTCACAGTTAGAGGCCATGAAGCTGGTCTGTTACATGCATAATGATTAACTACTAACTGCAGTCTGTAGTTCTGACAGGATTCGTTTTCTTTAGCCAATTTTTTTGAGCGTTAAGGTTCTTATTTCGGCTAAATGACTCAATATCAATCAAATTTCTAGTTTTTCAAGGCTTTTTTTTTCCGAAATGCGTTTAACTGAATAAATACTTGTAGTCCTTGTGGTTGTTTTGTCCGTCAGCTAGTGTGATGATTCCCTGCTTTGTTTTGTAACGCCGGGCCCAGCCATTGTTTTCTCGCAAAAAAAGTGATCCACAGATGCGAATTCGGAAGAAAGGATTAAGCCTAAACTTCTGCATTAACTGCTGAGAATTGTCCTGTTAGTCAGTTATAATTCTTTTGGCGCAGATACAATCCATTTTGTTTTTCTTGAGATAAGTGGGTCTTTGCACTGGAGCGCGATGTCACAATATCCTGCGTTAGCAAATTATTCACGGTCGAGCAACTGTTGTCTTCTGCTCAACTTTTCAAGTGTCAGTTTTATCAGGCAACTCTCATTCATGGTGATACAAGTCAGTTGTAAAGGAAGACTGCAATTTCTCAATTTTCGGAACTGAAGCATTCCTCGTTAGTTGCTACTTAGGTCATCGCTTTTGCATGCGGTGCTTATATAACTGGCGAAAGCCACTCCACGGTGATGACAAAAATCAAATGATCCTGGCACTTTTTAACCTGAGATCAGGCCCAATTCAAGCTGTTCTCATACATTCTCTCTAACGGTTTCGCCTTGCCCGCCGGAATGTAATTTTCAAAGCGAAACGAAAATAGAGCCTGATCTCAGGTTAGGCACTTTTTCGTCGCTGATCATCGAAAAGTTCCAAATCGTCCACAGAACGCTTAATCATCGACTCTTTTCATGCTTAAATGTGGGATGTAAAGCGGCCAAAAAAAACAAAACAAAACAAAACAAAAACACTCGCAAAGATAACCTTTCCGTGACCCTCAGTTCGCTGCCTTTGTCCCATCGCTTCATGCTCAGTCTCAGTCGGGTAATTCATTAACTTTTATTTCATGATACCCAGATCCCAGTAGCTGTAAAATTGTAAGAATGGACGTGTAGTGAAAAAGGAAAACCGTCGAAGGACGGGCTAATGAGTTCGACTTCATCCAACTTCATTTTTTTTCACGATGACATACGAGACTCACGGAAATATGACGCTTTTCGCGGGAAACAAGCCGTTCTATTTGTAAATCTACTCGGGAAAGGGTTGACTCAAGAAATTAATGGAGATGGAGGCTCCATTTGATGGGCTCCTGGTAATATCAGATCTTTGCTCATTGTCCCGAAAATATCTCATATTTCCCGAAAAATTTCCCAGGTTTCCCGATTCCCGGCTAAAATCTCCAGATTCCGGGAATAAATTTGTTTTTCTCCCGAAACAGCTCTTGTTAGAGCTGTCACCCCACCCCCCCCTGTTTACTCACACTATTTCATATTTCATTCGGACAGAATCGATCATTGGATATGGAATTATTGTACGGCCAACGAGGCACGTATAGGCAAGTATCCAATGCGCGCTCTCGTGGAATAATTGCTGATTATTGTGTATTCAATTCAATGCAACATCAAAAGGGTCTATAATGCGAGCATCATTATTGCCACTTCCTTCTGGTCAGGAATAATATTTGCATTTTCCTTATTTTAGGTACCAGCTGAGAGAGCTTGAAGGGGCTACGTCACCAGGATATTGCTGTTCTAGGTCAATTTCTGTGCTTAGCTATAAGAAAATATCGTAACATAAACCCCGGCTTTAAAACCAATACTGGGGGGCCAGACTAGGGCAGCTGATTCGAGCTACCTAAACATGTTTAATTAAACCATGTTTTAAAAAATTAAAACGGACGCGACTGAAAAACAGGAACACAGGTCTTTTTTTTTTTTACACAGGATGCGGTCAGTAATAAAATTCAACGCGTTTTGTAATTTGCAATAACGTTTCCATCAACATAAGGTGTTTTATGAAGGAAAGAATCTTTATACCGTGTTTGACTAAACAGCTTTAATTTTAAACATAGACCGATCAATATGGCAAACCTTGAAAATAAAATCGAGGAAACAAAGCAATCAATGGTTTATAAAGCTTAGCTTTGTCTGGTAAGCTATCTTTCCTTTAACTTTTTTTTTTAATGAAAAAACAAAGGTTGGTTTTCTGTTGGGGTCTTAAAAAAAGGATTTTTTTTTTAGTTTGGTGGATCTTACTTTGAACAAGCGTCTTTTTCAAATGCATAGGATAGGATGTAAATAGCTCGTTTTCAAACGGGAAGACGAAGTTGTATCGTTACAGCAAGTTGGCAGTTAATACAAATTTGACTTTATACCATTTGCTTCATTAACAAATAGAGGCGAAAGTTAAATGTTTATTTAACAATTAGTTCATGCGTCAGCGTGCTTATGTCAAGATATCACTGAGGCATACGGGAAGTTTAAGGCATGAGAGTTGCTCCAGTCGCAAATGGAAAGGCAAAGTTGTATCGTTATATCAAGTTATACGAACTAGTTAATACAGAATTGACGAATTACACCGTCTACACCAATATCAAATAGAGGCAAAATTCAGTGAAAGTTAGCTTAGGGAGAAAGTGGAACTTAGCACAGGGAATAAACAATTTTTCAGACGTTTTTAGTAAATTAAACTAAAAACAGGTGTGCCACCATAAATGTTAATGGTCACGCCAATCATAACTATATTTTAGTAGCCTTTTCTTGAAATGAAAATTCATCAATAGGTCCGTAAATTTGGCTTTGACGCAAATGCAACAGTTTTGACATTGACATGTGGCACTAGTGCGGAAGTCTCTAATGTCTCATTCGGTTTATTTATATTTTCATATTTTATTCGGAAAGAATCGGTCATTGATATTTTATGGGTGTTTTTAATAACACAATCATTCCACTCCCGCGTCCTGGATATGGAATATTATTATATTGACCAACGAGGGATCACTACAGGCAAGCATCCAACGCGCTTTCTCGTGGAATAATTGTTGACTATTGTGTATTCAATTCAATGCAACAAAAAATGGATCTATAATGATAGCATGATTATTGCCACTTCCTTCTGGTCAGGAATAATATTTGCATTTTCTTTATTTTAGGTACCATCTGAGAGAGCTTGAAGGGGCTACGTCATTAGGATATTGCTGTTCTAGGTAATTTCTTTGCTTAATTATAAGCAAATAACAGGACATAAACCCCGGCTTTAAAACCAATACTGAGGGGCTAGGCTAGGGAAGCCATCCAGCAGAACAATCGTGAAGCGAAGTAGTTGAAAATGAATAAAAAGAGACCGAGAATGTTTACCATTGTATAAAAACCATGTTATTGTGCACAAGCAAATGGGCAGCCTCTATCAACGCCTATTGGAAGAATTTATTCAACATTTTCATATGGATCTAGCTATTGAATTTAGATTGACAGTTAGATAGAACTATTATAGCTTTACTTACATAATAATTGGTAGAATATAAAGGACAAAGAACCGCCAGAAGGTGTTTTCAAGCGAAAAGACCTGCCGAAGAACCAGTAAGCATAAACACAACAGCAAATGGATTCGAGCTGCTCCAGTCTGATAAATCCAGAAGTACTAAAAGTTGGAGCAACAGTTGCTTATAGTTTAATCCTTGTAGTCTCGCTGGTTGCAAATTCTCTCATCGTATTAATTGTTTACAAAACACCAACTTTGAGAAAACCGATAAATATGTTGATCGCAAACATGGCCATGTCTGACCTGCTCTATCCAATATTCTTGTGCCCCGTTCGACTGGCAGAGTTGCACACTGCTGGCTCGTGGCGTATTGGTGGTACCCTTGGTCAGGCCTTGTGCAAGATATACCCTTTTCTTGCTGAAATTTCCATGGTAGTGTCGATTCAGAGCCTGGTTCTGATAACAGTGGATCGATATGCAGCTGTTGTAGTTCCACTACGTTCACCCCTCATCGGTCGCAAGGTGTGTAGCTGTTTGATTGTTGGTACATGGATACTCGCAGCGGCCTTTTGTTGGCCATATTTGTTTAACTTCAATCTTGTTGAATACAAAGAAGGAAAGAGGTGCATTCATCAGTGGGAGGTGATCTTCGGAGAGAAAAGCTCATTTGGTATTTACCTCCTATCAGCTTGTATCTTGTTCTTTTACATCCCTTTTGTGGTCTTGGTGATACTTTACTCCATCATACTGATCAAGCTTAAAAAGCAAGCCCATCCAGGTGAACAGTCAGCCAGCGCTGAGGAACAGAGGACAAGAAGAAACAGAAATGTCCTTAAGATGACCATTGCTATCGTTGTAACGTTTTTCATTTGCTGGATAACCTTTTCCATTCAGGTAGTAACAATTTATTTTGTACCAAAAATCACTTTGGATTGTAAGTTTCGGGTATCTTATTTTGTCGCCTTGTTTCTGGCTTACACAAACTGTGCTATCAACCCAATTATCTGCCTTACCTTTAGCAGTAACTATCGCCAAGCTCTTAGGAGACTTGTGAATTGCTGTGGTGCAGTGCAAGGTCAAGTGAAGTCTAGGCCTGATCGAAGTGATTCTTGAAAAAAAGCGACCAATATTAATGACTTTACTGTAAAAGTTAATAATACCGAAAATTAATGCAGCATGCAATCTCTCTTGGGACGGTTGTAATACCCAGGAGAAATGGAGTTGGTAGGTGGTAGGGCGGGCGGGGGGGATAAGGTGCATTATGGGAGATGTGCAGGTGGCGAATAAGAGATTTACCGAGCGCCGGTAAACTGTTTAAAATGCGGGTTACCCTGAACTCGAAGCCGAGTATGAAATTCAGCTAGCTTTCTCGCTTTCCAGAAAAAATGTTTTTTTCTCTGTTTCAGCGGTAGCTTTTTCTGTGGAATGCCTTATTTTCCTTTATCGTTTATATGCTGAGTCTATTGTCACTGCATGGCGAAGTGATCCGCCACTTGTTTTTTCAGTGTTGTTGTTGTTGTTGTTGTTATTGTGAAAACGTGCCGGCGTAAGGAAATGGCGCCATTATTTCATTTTACTTGCAAACATTCTGCTCCCTAGAGCAGTATTTGGAATATATTTTACTTATTTCAGAACTGGAATAGCAGGTCAGTAGAACGGCGGATTCTCGGGATTATTCTATGTATTCCTATTGATATCAAGCCAAGTTAGAATTAGTGTTGGTTCTGTTGTTTTTAAAAGTGAGAATTAGAAACGTGTAAAAAAGAGTAGTAAAAAGAGACGTGCCATCGTAAATGTTAATAGTTGGATCATAATTATCCGCTTTTGTATAAATGGTTATTGGATGTTGTACATACAACCTTAACAAGCTTAACTGTATATATATAGCTATTCCGCCGCGAAATTACTTCAGCTTTCTTAGGCCGGCCTTAATCACTTTGATTGCTATAATGACTTTCTGATTGCATTTTGTTTCTGAGCTCAACGATTTAGTGAATAAAATTTAATTAATTTTGTAGTGGACATTGCTTTGCTCTACTGAGTAATTGCGACTTGTCATTTGTGTGTATATGTTTTATCCCGGCAAATTTGATCTCTTTGATCACAGTATTCTATTTGTCTTCCCTCTTGCATTAGTTATTTTCCCTTCTAGGACGCCATTTTACTGATCAGAATGTATTCAATCGATTGCATAAATGTACGCTCAATAAAGATGAAACCGAATTTCTTTGTCAATATGGTCTATCAAATGTGTTATTTTAACTCTTTTACAGTATCTAATTCTACTGACTATTTAATGTTAAATTTATATTTTCTTGTAACCTATTCTTTTTAGTTATATCAACGAGAAGTATCTAAAAAAATGGGTTCTCTGAGATGCATCCCGGGTAGTTTTTTAAATCGTTGAATTACCTACTTTGAAATGGTCTCTAATTAAATGAAGTGTGTTATTTCAACGAAAAATGTTAGTCATTCTTACTTAAAAGAAACTGGTTACAACTACCATTTACGAATATTTAAAACAACATAATATTGAACTAAAAACAACCAAACAGAAAAGTCAAAATAACCCTGTTAATATTTGTTTTAACTGCTTTTAAATTAGTTATTTCAAATCAAAAGAATCCAGTTATTTCAAGCCAATCTGTCTAAAACAACAGGATTCTCTCAGATGCATTTTGCAACAATTTTTATTGTTGCAAATTTTACAGTGTGGGTCGTTTCCGTGGCTGTTAACTCGCCATATTTGTTCCGTCGCAGCAAGAGTTGTTAGGTACTCTTCTGTGGGATTGGTCTGTGGAGTGAGCTGGTACTTTTTGAATTCCTATAGAGGGTATTACACGGTGACGAGAAGATATGAATTTTATTTTCGAGTGGCAAAACAATATTTTACGAACGAGCCCAGCGAGTTAGTAAAATATTGTTTTGCCACTCGAAAATAAAATTCATATCTTCAAGCCGCCGTGTAATGTTCTTTTCATTATATAGACAAACTGACATCGATAAAATGATTACCAAAATTACGTCATCGATAAACTCACGTGTGAGATTATGGAAATAAACCACTCGGGTCCCGGATGTAGTTTTTATGAATTTTACGAGTGGTATATGTTACAGTAAAGCACTCGTGTCTATATAATAAACTGGCATAATATACTGTGTTTTTTTACATCCCCATTATCCTGTCGGTCATTGTATACCCATCACCCTGATCAAGCTTTAAAATCTACGGGTTCAACCTGTCGAGCAGACAACGATAGTGGAGCAGCGTAGTAGAGAAGAAACAGTAACATTTTCATGCATTGTACTGCTAGCGTCGGAGAATGGTTTATACCTTGTTTGACTAAACAGCTTTTAAACATAGGCCGATCAATATGAGGAACTTCGAAATAAAATGGATAAAAGAAAACACTTAATGGTCTATGAAATTTATCTTGGTCTGGTAAGCTGTCTTTCCCTTACCTTTTTTTTTATTGAAAAAACAAAGGTTGGTTTTCAGTTACGGTCTTAAAAAAAGATTTTTGTTTTTAATTTGGTGGACCTTACTTTGAACAAGCGTCTCTTAACAAATACATAGGATAGGAGGTAATTAGCGCGTTTTCAAACGGGAAGACGCAGTTGTACCGTTATAGAAAGTTGGCAATGAATACAAATATGACTTAACACCATTTGCGCCATTAACAAATAGAGGCGAAAGTTAAAATGTTTATTTAACAATTAGTCCATGCGCCAGCGTGCGTATGTCAAGATATTACTGAAGCAAACGGAAAGTTTGGGGCGTGAGAGTTGCTCTACTCGGAGATGGAAAGGCAAAGCTGTATCGTTATATCAAGTTAAGCACTAGTTAATAGAGAATTGACTTTACACTGTCTTCGCCGATATCAAATAGAGGCTAAAAGTCAGTGAAAGTTAACTCGGGGAAAAATATTTTGTTTCAGATGTTTCTAGTAAAATAACTACGAACAGGTGTGCCACCATCGATGTTAATGGTCGTAACTATGTGTGGCGTTTTTCTAGAAATGAGTACGTAATATTCATCAATAGGCCCGTTCGCGCTGACGCAAATGCAAAAGTTTTCATAGAGACATGTAGCACTAGTGTGAAAGTCTCTAATGTCTTTTTCGGTTTATTCCTATTTATTCATATTTTTTTCGGAAACAATCGATCATTGGCTGATGAGATTAGCTGTGGAATAATTGTTGATTATTGTGTATTCAATTTCGTGCAACATCAAATGGGTCTCTAACGATAGCATCATTATTGCCACTTGTTTCTGGAATAATATTTGCATTTTCCTTATTTTAGGTACCAGCTGCATGAGAGAGCTACGTCACAAGGATGTTGCTGCTTTAGGTCAATTTCTTTGCTCAACTATAAGAAAATATCGTGACATAAACCCCGGCTTTAAAACCAATACTTAGGGGCCACGCTAGGGGAGTCCTCCAGCAGAACAATCGTGAAGCGAAGTAGTTGAAAATGAATAAAACGTGACCGAGAATGTTTACCATTGAATAAAAACCATGGAAGAATATATTCAACATTTTGATATGGATCTAGCTGTTTAATTTAGATTGACAATGAGATTGAACTATCATAGCTTTACTTACGTAATAATTAGTAGAATATAAAGGACAAAGAACCGCCAGAAGGTGTTTTCAAGCGAAAAGACTTGCCGAAGAACCAGCAAGCATGAACACAACAGCAAATGGATCAAGTTCCTCGAGCTGCTCCAGTCTGATAAATCAAGAAGCACTAAAAGTTGGAGCAACAGTTGCTTATAGTTTAATCCTTGTACTCTCGCTGGTTGGAAATTCTCTCATCGTATTAACTGTTTACAAAACACCAACTTTAAGAAAACCGGTCAATATGTTGATCGCAAACATGGCCATGTCCGACCTGCTCTATCCAATATTCTTGTTCCCCGTTCCACTGGCAGATTTGCACGTTGGCTCATGGCTTATTGGTGGTACCCTTGGCCAGGCCTTGTGCAAGATATACCCTTTTCTTGCTGAAATTTCCATGGTAGTGTCGATTCAGAGCCTGGTTCTGATATCAGTGGATCGATATGCAGCTGTTGTAGTTCCACTCCGTTCACCCCTCATCAGTCGCAAGGTGTGTCGCTGTTTGATTGTTGGTACATGGATACTCGCAGTGCTCTTCTGTTGGCCATATTTGTTTAACTTCAATCTTGCTGAATATCAAGGAGAAAAGTGGTGCAACAATCAGTGGGATGTGATCTTCGGAGAGAAAAGCTCATTTGGTATTTACCTCCTATCAGCTTCTATCTTGTTCTTTTACATCCCTTTCGTCGTCTTGGTGATACTTTACTCCATCATCCTGGTCAAGCTTAAAAAGCAAGCCCATCCAGGTGAACAATCAGCCAGCGCTGAGGAACAGAGAACAAGAAGAAATAGAAAAGTGCTCAAGATGACCGTTGCTATCGTTGTAGCGTTTTTCATTTGCTGGATACCCTTTTCCATTCAGTTAGTAACATTTTATTTTGTACCAAAAAACACTTTGGATTGTAAGTTTCGGGTATCTCTTGATGTCGCCTCGTTTATGGCTTGCACAAACTGTGCCATCAACCCGATTATCTGCCTTACCTTTACCAGTAACTATCGCCAAGCTCTTAGGAGACTTGTGAATTGCTGTGATGCAGTGCAAGGTTAAGAGAAATCTAGGTCTGCAGTGGCGGATCCAGACCTTCAGATAAGGGAGGTGGGGGGAGGTGGGGGGGAAGGTCATCCAGACCCTGAGATAAGGGGGGCGCAGTCTCTAAAAAATTTTTTTTTCGGCTCTTCGGGCCTCAGTTTGGTCTAAAAATAAGAGGGGGGGTCTCCCCTGGATCCGCCACTGGTCTGATCGAAGTGATTCTTTGAAAAAGCGACCAATATTAATAACTTTACTGTAAAAGTTAATAATACCGAAAATTAATGCAGCATGCAATTTCTGTTAGCACGGCTGTAATACCCAGGAGAAATGGACAAAACATGAAATGGAACATAAAATGTAATATGACATGAATCTAATTCAGTCATGGCTGTCAGCAAACAAATTAACTTTGAATGTTAAGAACACTAAAGACATGTTTATAGGGAGTCAATTGAAGTTATCTCAAATGAGGGAAGGACCATTAGAAAACCTTATGGGGGGGGGGGCGAAGTACCAAAAAAAATGTTCGCGCAAGGGAAAATTAAATGAAAAAAAATTGTGCACGCCAATTAATGCAAAAAAAATATTCATGCTATGGCCTAAAAAAAATTCATGCAAGGAATTTGATAACGAAAAAAATTCCTGCTGCTCGAAAATTCCCCTCCCCCCCCCCAACCCCCACATAACTTTTCTAATGGTCTGCCCCTAAATAGTGATTTAACAGTCAAAGTTAATAATACACCGTTAGAAAGAGTAATTAAACATAAATCTCTTGGAGTTCAAATTGATGAATCTTTGAACTCACTGGCGCCCACACATTAATACCATTTCAAAGAAAATATCCGCTGGTCTTGCTATCTTAAAGCGTGTAAGTCACTTTATACCATTTGATACTAGAGTGAATATGTACAATGCACTGGTAATGCCATATTTTATCAATAAGGGACTAGCAGACAAACTTCAAAAGATGCAGAATAGGGCTGCTAGAATTCTCACATTTTCTAACTATGAGGTTCGCTCAAGTGTTTTGTTGGATGAGCTAGCCTGGCTGGGAAAGGTTAGAATAAGTAAGACTTAAACAGTTTGCTTTGACAATGTATAAAATCTATAATGATCTTTCCCCGTCATATCTGAGGCGGATCTTTACCAACACCTCAAATGTACACTCCCACAATCTTAGAAATTCGGAGTTAAATTACTATGTCCCCAGACCCAGAACTGAGTCTGCAAAAGGGAGCCTACACTACAGAGGATCTCTTGTGTGGAACAAGATTTCCTCAGAGATTAGAAACCTTCCTAGTTTAAATGTTTTCAAAACTTCATTTCATGGGAAAGATTATCTTAATACACTATGACTCATTGTAACTCTTATCATTTTAATATAAGTTTTTGTATTTTTAACTTTACTGTCAAGTAGTTTCTTAGAGTATTTTAGCATAATTTTACACACGATTCCTAGGAAGACCATGTAAAAGTGACACGATTTCGTGTATAAATAAATATTGATGACGATGATGATGATCATGATGGAGTTGGTGGGGGACGGGGGAATAAGGTGCATTATGGGAGACGTGTAACCGGTGAATAAGAGATTTACCGAGCGCCTGTAAACTGTTTGAAATGCGGGTTACCCTGAACTCGAAGCCGAGTATGAAATTCAGTAGTTATCTTTCTGGCTTCTCTTTTTGAGGAAAAATGGTAGGGGTGTTTTTTTCTCTGTTTCAGCGGTAGCTTTTGAATCGATAGACGTACTTTAGTTGGATAATCCATTTGCATAGAAATTTCTGCGCAACATTTGTTGTATTTTTCTGCAGTTGTTGTTTAAATTTATTAAATCAACACATTTTAACCCTATTCAGACTGGACTTTTTTGGTCAATCTGTGACTGGGGGGGCGGGGCTCCTCGGACCCCCCCCCCCCCTTTGTTTCTCTGGAACCAATAATGCTAGGGTCATGAAATTTACACACAATGATCATCTCCGTACAAAGAAGTCCCACACCCAGTTTTGACTTGCCACGCCCAAAGATGACGTCACAGTGACGTCATATTCCGATTTTTTAATGTTTCTTATTATTTTTTCACTTAGATACGTAAAATATCAATAATATTGGTAAAGTCATCTCTTTGTTATCCTTTCTTACGAACTAGTAACAAGGAAACACTTGTACAGCGAGAAAAAGCAATAGGAAGCAATAAAATTTAAAATTTGAAATGGTTGTCCGCCATCTTGGATTTCCGTTTTTTTGTTAAAATTATAATTTAAAGCAACTTTCAAAGGGGAAAAAGCTCAGAATGTATAAAAGAAGTATCAAACTAATGTTTATTACCCAAACAAATGACCTTGGAAGTGTTATTTGGAAAATAGAGCAGCATATTTGTCAAAGCAAAAAAGTGACAAATTTTACCCCACTCCTCCCCCCCAAATATTCGATGTTGAAACATTTTGATGTAATTCAAAAATTAGTCCCAAGCAAAGACCATTTTAACAACAAAAAGCACTATAAGTGTAAAAGCGCGATCTTAAAACAAAAAAATCGCCATTTTTAAAATTTTCCAAAACCTATGTGTCAGAAACTGGTTGCCATGGCAACATGATTAATCACATGGACATGGTAATTATACCAAAATGTTCCTAGATAAATTTTAGGAATAGTCAGAAAATTTGAACGTTATAGCTCTTTCGGTGTAGGAGTTATCACGATTTTGCCGGAGGGGGGGTTCGAAAAGCTCCCCCCCAGTCTGAATAGGGTTAACGCACTATTTAGCAATAGACCTATTTACCGATACGGCGGCCATATTGAATTTATTCGATTTAAGGAGTATTATAGGATGTCCAGGGGGCATGAGCGCATTTCGTTTGTATTTTCGAGCGCTTTTCGAGACATTTTTTTCTGAAAGTTTTCTTAGAATAAGATTCTAAAGGGAAAAAAGATCCTTTTGCCGTGTTTGGATGCAATAATGATCGTCTTCTTCTAGTTTACTATTAGAAATATGGTCTTTCACTGTATTTTTCTCGGGAAAAAAGGCGGTCATTATTACATCCAAACACGGTACAAGGATCTTTTTTCCCACTACAACCTTATTCTAAGAAAATTTTAAGAAAAAGTGTCCCAAAAAGCGCTCGAAAATACAGAGGAAATGTGGTCATGCCCCCTAGGCATCCTATAATACTCCTTAAATTGAATTAATTTAATATGGCTGCCGTCAGGAGCCAAGTAATCGGCTCCTGCTGCCGTGTCGGTAAAAAAAGGTCTATTGTATTGAAATGAGATACTCCAGGGACGTTTGAATCTGTTCAAAGCACTCACGGCACGAAGCAAAGCACGATTTTAGAAGGATCAAAGTATTTTGTGCAGTTAATAGCATGATTTGAAGTGATATTTGGCATAAATGCCACTAGTGATATTTTAAAATTGTTATTCGTAATTTCACGAGCCGTTAGGCGAGTGAATTTTGAAACAATTTTGAATGATCACGAGTGGTATTTATAAACAATTATTGGATGAGGTTTTTGTGATATCCGGAATAATCAAGGTCGAGGCAAGTGTTATCAGCCGAAGCCGAAGGTTGAGGCTGATAACACTAACCGAGACCTTGATTATTCCGGATATCACAAAAACCGAATCTAATAATTGTTTTATTATACTTTATCTTCAAGTAATTTCTCCATTTCTTGCTGGGTCGATGAAGCGAATCAAGAAGCCATTCTTACTTCGCTGTCCGCGAACTTGACATTGCTGTCCGTGCACTTGACATTGCTCTTGGAAATCATGCATTGCGCGCCCAACCTACAGATTATTCACTAATCTGTAGGTACAGATTAGTGAATAATCTGTAGGTTGCGCTGTTTCCCAGAATTAACTGTAGGCTTTTAGCCAATGAGAAGACAGATGGTGACTACAATGTATAATAATGCCAAATATCACGTACAAATTATGCTATTATTTGTTTGTTGTACAACCCATGGCCACAGAAGTTTTCATGTAGGTATTTCAAATTAGGCTGAAATAGCACTGCTCTAAGCTGATCAAATTGCAGAAATTTCTCTTGTAGTAGTACAAGTATAGGTAATAGCAAGATTTGTAGTGATATTTGGCATAAATACCACTAGTGATATTTTGAAATTGTTATACGCAGCCACAGTGGATCACACTTCGACGGTTGTCATATTGAAATTCTTCAAAGATCACACTGACCGCATGCGGTTTTTAGGTTCTAGTTTTTTGGTAATTATTAACCAGGACAAAACTTAACGTAATGCCTTTTATCAAGTTTAGTTCGGCATAGCTTACAAGATAAATCACGCTGCATGTTCATATGTGGTTTCACGGATTACGTTCGTATTATCGAAAATTTTACGCGTCACACGCTAAATTTGGGCCTAACCACGCGTTTCACATAAACCCTTTGTTACCCTCAACAATTATTATGTACGGATTTGGAGATAACCAATAAATTCCATCAGGGAGCACTAGTCACAATAAATTGTTGATGAGTCCTCGTATATCCTTGCTATCCGTAGGAAAAGACGACAGGAAATTTAATTAACTTTAATTGATGAAAAGACATGTTTTTTTCGTTTTGAAAAGACCATAACTCGCCATGGCCCCTTTATAAGCTATGACAGGAGGGCAGGTTAGCCCTCTAATAAAACAAATGTGAAATGATCAATACATGGAAATTAATAAAACAAGGCCAAGGATGATTGTTATTTTTATTACAGAAACCATTTTCCTGTCTCAATACAATTAGAATGAAAGAAAAAAAAAGGTTTTTTTTTTTTAATTTTTCGGCA